CACTTCACTCCCATCATCATCAGCACCCCCCCCCCCCCCCCCCCACTCTACCTCTTCATACTAACTAGAGTCACTCCAACAAACACCTTTTTTCCTGAATAAAATTCTTCCTTTTTCAGCTACACGCAGCGAACACGTTGAGAAATCCTGAAATAACGACTATGCAAACTGTTGCAAGGAAGGAGTTGAATATGTACATGTTGCAACGCTCTTTATCAATGTCACTAAAGATTACATTTCAGAGAAAGAGAGGAAAAAATAAAAGAATTGTCTTTTTTTTTTTTTTTTTTTTTTTTTTTTTTTTTTTTTTTTTTTTTTTTTAGATGGACGGGGGCTATGTTTAATCATTTATATGTTTTGGAATTCATTTATTGACCTACATATATCTGTCAATCTACTGGCTTATCTATCGAATTTTGTCTGTTGACTTTTACATCTACATCTACTCATTTGCCTTTTTATCTATTGCATATTTTGTCCATCTCTTTATTTCCATTATTATAATTGTCTGTTTATCCGTCTGCTTATCTATATATCTATACACTTATCTGCTCATGTATCTATTTTTCTAGCTACCTATCTAAAATCTAGCTTGTTATCTGTAAGATTAGAGATTCAGAATTATATTTTATTATCATTATCAGTGATAATACAAATAGTAGCAGTGGTAGTAGTAGTAGAAGTGCTGATAGCAGTAGTAGTAATAGTTGTAGTAGTAGTAGTAGTAGAAGCAGCAAAGTAGTAGCAGTAGTTGTTGTTGGTGGTGGTGGTGGAGCAGTAGCAGTAGTAGTAGTAGTAATAGTAGTAGTAGTAGTTATTATTGTAGTAGGAGTAGTAGAAGTAGTCATAGTAGTAGTAGTAGTACTATTGCTTGAGGTGGGGGAGGGGTCAAGAATCATTAAAACCTAATTTCTTAAAGAATTTACACATATTTAGCAGTCCTTCAGAACACTAGACTACTCCATTCACTGAACATGGACATCATTATTATCATTACACCACAGCTATAACAACCAGTTAAAATGACGATACCCAGCGCTAACTATTCTCACTCAAAATACTATCTGTGTTGTCATCATTCTTACCATGGTCATAATTGTATCATTACCATCATCATTATCCCTGTTAGAGTCATTATCATTATTGCGATTAAGTTTATTTTCAATATCTTTATTATCATGTTATATTCCATTAGTTGATTTCTTTTTTATTTATTTACCACTCCCCAAGTCTTTGCTGCATTCTCCTCAATCCATTCCCACCTCTCTGCTTTATCATTGTCTGTTCCTCCTCCTCCCCTCTTCTTTATCATTAGCGGCTCCTCCTCCTCTCTTCTTTATCATCATCTGCTACTCTTTCTCCTCTCTTCTTTATTATCATTCCGCTCCTCCCCTCCTTCTCTTTATTATTATTCCGCTCCTCCTCGTCATCCGCTCCTTCCCCTCCCCTCTTCTTTATCATCATCCGCTTCTTCCTCCTCTCTTCTTTATCATCATCCGCCCTCCCCCTCCCCTTTTCTTTATTATTATCCGCCACTCTTCCTCCCCTCTTCTTTATTCATCATCCGCCACTCCTCCTCCCCTCTTCTTATCATCATCCGCTCCTTCCCTTCCCCTCTTCTTTTATTTATCCGCTCCTCTTCCTCCCCCCTTCTTTATCACCATCCGCTCCTCTTCCCTCTCTTCCATCCGCCACTCTTCCTCCCCTCTTCATCATCATCCTCCTCCCTCCCCCTTTCTTATCATCATCCGCCACTCTTCCTCCTCTCTTCTTTATCATCATTATCCGCCCTCCCCCTCCCCTTCTTTATCATCATCCGCCACTTTCCTCCTCTCTTCTTTATTATCATCCGCTCCTCCCCTCCCCTGTTTATCATCATCCGCTCCTCCCCCTCACCTTCTGTTCATCCTTCTCCTCACATCCTCCTTGAACCGAATTCACGTTAACAAACGTAGAAAAGGCCTGAATGAGAATGAATGCCTTCACAATACAAGAAATGTATTTAACTGGCACTGTATTGTGAAGACATTCATTCTCATTCATACCTTTTCTTCGGACCTGCTTCCCCTTCCCACTCCTCTCCACACTCCTCTCCCTCTTCCCCAACCCTTAGACCCAGTTTTCTGTTTTTTTTCTCTATTTTGAAAAAAAGAGGTAGATAAACGTAATTTGTAATTCAGTTGGTTAATAGTTGAATAGATGAAGCGTGAGATAAGAAATTACTATTATTTTCATTATCATCATTATTATTATTGTCATTATTATCATCATTATTATCATTTTCATTATTATCATTATTATCATTATTTTCATTATTACTATTATCATTATTATTATCATTGCCTCCGCCAAAGAGGTTATGATTTTGGTCGCGTTGGTTAGTTTGTTTGTACGTTGGTTAGCAGGATAAGTCAAAAAATTATGAATATTTTTTTTTCTGAAATTTTACCAAAAATGTGTCTTAGCCTAACGTAGATTCTTACGATCCGGATTCAGGAATTTTCAGAATTATTGCGTCATTTCCCCTGTTGTTTTGCCTCCGTCAAGGATCTGATGTTAACGGACGTCACCTGTGTACTTAGTTATTATTACTATTATAAGTATTGATATCATTATTATGATTATTATTATTGTTGTTGTTATTATCATCCTTGTCATCATCATCATTATCATTATTATCATTATTATCATCATTGTTATTATCATTATTGTTATTATTACTATCATTATTATCATTATTGTTAGTTATTACTATCATTATTATCATTATTGTCATTATTATTACTATCATTATCATCATTGTTATTATCACTATTGTTATTATTATTACTATCATTATTATCATTATTATCATCATTGTTATTATCACTATTATTATTATCATTACTATCATTATAATTATGATAATTATTATCATCATTATCATTATCATTATCACCATTAATATAGTGATAATGATACCAGGAAGGAAAGCATATCGAAGTAGAAAAGAAAGTAGAAATAGAAACATTAAGAAGAGAGCGTCAAAACGAAGAAAAACTAAAAAGATATAATATTTAAATTAACGAGTAAACCACAGAAGCGAATACACGTAAATAGACGAAGATGAAATATGCCAATGACTTTTTAAAAAAAATAATAATAAATAAATAAATAAATAAATAAATAAATAATATAATAAAATATAATAATAATAATAATAATAATAATAATAATAATAATAATAATAATAATAATAATAATAATAATAATAATAAATAATAATAAATTAAAAAAAACGGAACAAACAAAGACTATAGGGGTCGAGGTCATAAGAAGGTAATTAGAAAATTGCTCTTTGTAATTAACATGCACAGAATGATACGATAAATGGGGACACAGTGAAAAGAAAAAAAAAATGTTATTGATGGTATTTTTATCATCATTATCATCATTATTATTATCATTGTTATTATCATCACTCTTGCTGTTATTGCTATAATCATTATTATTATCACCATTGTTATTATTATCATTATTATTATTTTTTTATTATTATTATTATTATTATTATCATTATCATCATTGTGTTGTTCTTATTATCATTATTATCATTATTATTATCATCATTATTGTTGTTTTGTTGTTTTTTTGTTGTTATTGTTTTATTGTTATTGTTGTTATTATTATTATCATTGTTATTATCATTATTATTATTATATTTATTATTATTATTATCATTATTATTATCATTATTATATTATTATTATTATTATTATTATTATTATCATTATTATTATTATTATTATTATTATTATTATTATTATTATTATTGCCATCATTACCATCAATATCATTATTATCATCATCGTTATCATTATCATTATTATCACTATTGTAATTTCAATTATCAATGAAACCTTTTTTTAAGGTGCAGTTTCCTTTTTAGAATTCAGTGATATGTAAATTTACATAATAATTTAAAATATTTCACTTTGATAAACCATAAGTCAGTTTTACAAATATAGAGAAAAAGCGAACGACAGAATTGAATTTGAAATTAAAGATATTATTACATATAAAACGAAAAATTAATGATTAGTGGTTAAAATATCAAAGGTCATATAGCACTATGGTAAAGTATTGTGTTAGAAAAAGGAAGCAACTTGAATGTCACTAATATTATATATCATAACAGAGGAATCTGATTTTCTTTAGTATTGCCATGTCTTTTTTTCATTTATTTTATGAATTATTAGTATAATCATTATATTTTTATGACATATGATGATGGTACTTATTATCCTTAATATTATCACAAGTCTTATCATTATTAGAGTTTTGTTATGATTAACAGGAACTTCAAAATAAATAATGGAAAAAATATACATACACATATATTTTTTCTTTCTGTTATATATCTACCTATCTGTCTTGTCTATTAATTTATATGTTTTCTTAATCATTCATTCTATTTATTCGTTTTACTATAATACAAGAGCGAATTAAAGGGAGAGGCTTTCAACGGACATCACGCGAGGAATAGTACATTGTAGGGAAATAGTAAAATAACCTCATTATTGAAATGTATGATTCGAAGCCTATTCACCGAAGCGCACACTATAAGCTAGTTTAAGACAGACAAGCGGTTATTTTTGGACAATTTTATATTTTCTTCGCATTATTATATCTTACGACTGAGGACATAGAAAATGTAATCTTATTGTTATTATGACGCTGGTGATTATAATAACGGTAATGTACAGTGGTAACAATGACATTAACAGAATTGGTAATGATTATAATTTTGATGATATGTATAACAATAAATACTTCCCATCCGACAACTACTCGAATTCTAGCCTTCTCTCTTTCTCTCTCTCTATCTATATTTCTCTCTTTCTCTCTCTTCTCTTTTGTAGGGAAATAGTAGAATAATTTCAAATTAATGAGACTTGCAGCTTACTAACCGAAATGCACACTAAGATTTAATACACACAGACAAAAAATCTGGTGATAAT